TAAAAGAATAAAGCATCTCACTTAAAACATGCTCAATATTTCCTTAATAACCATGTATGAAGTTCAATTCAATCTCATTGGATTGAGAAACTAACAAAAATCTAATTAAAAACAGTAAGAAAAATGCAAATTTTTTTTTCCTTTTTTTTATATTGGACTTTTTTTTAAGGGACGAAAATTACATAAAATAAAAATAAAATGAAAAACAACTCAACATGTCGCCAAAAGCAAGTAAAATATACTTCTACTCCCCCCAACTTAAAATTGACATTGTCCTCAATTTTAATATTCATAAGAATAATAAGCAAGAAAGACACGCAATTTAAATGGAGAAAAAGACTCAGGAAAGAATACACTTGAAGGTCTAAGAAGGCTTTGAAATTCTTCCAGCAACTGGTCGATGACACATTAATAAACTGAAAAAGAAACAAAACAAACGAAACAGAAAAATAAAAGAAAATATGGGCCAGAATAAAGAAATCAGTCCTGATAAACAGGATCCTCCAAACCAATGGTCTTATCCTGCAAGGCAATACTTTCCAAAAAGGGCTTAAGTTGCTGACCATTAACTTTAAATACATTACCATTCGTTGGATCCTTGACCTCCACAGCTCCAAAAGGAAAAAATCTTTTCACGACATAAGGACATGTCCATCTAGAACGAAGTTTACCAGGAAACAAATGCAACCTCGAATTGTACAAGAGTACTTTATGCAAAGACTCAAAAGTTTTTCTCAAAATATTTCTATCATGGAAAACTTTCATTCGTTCTTTGTAAATTTTAGAACTTCATAGGCCTCATTCCTAATTTCTGCCAATTCATTCAATTGAAGTTTTCTATTCAAACTGGCAGCATCCAAGTTAAAATTTAACATCTTAATAGCCCATTAAGCTTTGTGTTCCAGTTCCACAGGCAAGTGACAAGGTTTCCCATAAACTAGTCTATAGGGAGACATACCAAGCGGGGTTTTAAAAGTTGTACGATAAGCCCATAGCGCATTGGTTAGTCAGATAGATCAATCTTTGCGATTTGGGCTAACCATTTTTTCTAAAATTTGTTTATCTCCCGATTGGCAATTTCAACTTGGCCACTTGTTTGGGGGTGATAAAGGGTAGCCACTTTGTGAGTAATACCATATTTTTTAATCAAAGCTTCAAATGGTTTATTACAAAAATGTTTACCCCCATCACTGATAATAGCTCGAGGTGTTCCAAATTGGGAAAATATATTTTCTTTTAAAAAATGCAAAACAGTTGTGTGATCATTTTTCTGACATGGAACGGCCTCGACCCATTTTGAAACATAGTCAACACCTACTAAATATATAGATATCCGAAAGAAATAGGAAACAGACCCATAAAATCAATACCTCAACAATCAAACGACTGAATGACTAAAATTGGAGACATCATATTTCTACGCGTTATGGCACCAAACTTTTGACAACGATCACAAGTTTGACAGAAAGCATTAGTATCTTTGAAAAGAGTAGGCCAATAAAATCCACATTGTAAAATTTTTGCAACAATCTTTTTAATAGAAAAATGACTACCACATGCCTCATTGTGACAAAAAAGAAATTATGGCATTGATTTCATGATCAGGCACACATCTCCTAATTATTTGATCACGACAATATTTAAACAGGCATGGATCATCCCAAAAGAAATTACATACCTCCACTAGAAACTTCTTTCTATCCTGTGCACTCCAATGAATCGGAATTTCACCTGTAGCAAGAAAATTAACTATGTTAGCAAACCAAGGTAATTCCGAAAGAGAAAATAATTGCTCATCAGGAAAAGAATCATTAATGGGTGTTGGTTCAGAAGAATCATCAAAAACAAATCTGGACAAATGATCCGCCACCACATTCTCTACCCCTTTTTTGTCTTTGATGGTGATGTCAAATTCTTGGAGTAAGAGAATCCATCTGATCAAACGAGCTTTTGCATCCTTCTTAGTAAGAAGGTATTTGAGGGCTGCATGGTCAATATAAACAATAATAGGAAAACCAACAAGATAAGCCCGAAATTTGTCCAAAGCAAATACTACAGCAAGAAGTTCTTTCTCAGTTGTTGAATAATTCATTTGAGCACTATTCAAAGTTATATTTGCATAGTAAATGACATACGGTTTCTTATCCCTTTGTTGCCCCAACACAGCTCCAATTGCATAATCACTCGCATCACCCATGATTTCAAAAGGCAAAGTCCAATTAGGTGGTTGCATGATAGGTGCAGAAGTTAACTTGCCAATTAATTTATCAAAAGCAATTTGACATGCATCGGTCCATTCAAAAGAAGAATCGTTTAATAAGAGATTACATAATGGTCTAGATATCGAACTAAAATTCTTGATAAATCTCTTATAAAAGCCAGCATGACCTAAAAATGATCTAACATCTTTAATGGTCTTCGGAATAGGCAATTTAGCAATCAATTCAATTTTAGCTCTATCAACCTCAATTCCTCGAGACGAAATAGTGTGGCCAAGAACAATTCCAGATGAAACCATAAAATGATATTTTTCCCAATTCAAAACAAGGTTCTTTTCTTGGCAACATGTTAAAACTTTTTCCAAGTTATTCAAACAATAATCAAAAGAATCACCAAACACAGATATATCATCCATAATAACTTCAAGAAATTGCTCCACCATATCACTAAAAATACTAAGCATGCATCTTTGAAATGTAGCGGGAGCATTACACAATCCAAACGGCATTCTACGAAAAGCAAAAGTACCAAAAGGACATGTAAATGTAGTTTTATCTTGATCGTCAATGGCAATTTCAATTTGATAATAACCTGAATAACCATCCAAAAAGCAATAAAATACATGCCCAACCTCGCTCTAAAATCTAGTCTATAAAAGGCAAAGGAAAATGATCCTTTCGAGTCACAAGATTAAGCTTTCTATAGTCAATACACATACGCCAACTAGAAATGACTCTAGTAGGAACCAATTCATTTTTATCATTTTTAACTACAGTTAAACCAGAATTTTTTGGAACGACTTGAGTAGGACTCACCCACTGACTGTCAGAAATTGGGTAAATGACCTCTGTTTTGACAACTTCTTTCATGTTAGGGTTCAACCTACGTTGTGGGTCCCGAGATGGTTTAGCACCATCTTCCAAAAATATTTTGTGTGTGCATACAAGAGGACTAACTCCTTTTATATCAGCAAGAGTCCATCCAATGGAAGATTTATGGGCAGTCAAAACCTTAATTAACTTACTTTCCTATGAAGAGTTGAGTTCGGAAGAGATTACCACAGGGAAAGTGTCATCTGGCCCTAAAAATGCATGCTTGAGACCTGTCGGTAACGGCTTAAGCTCTAATTTGGGCACCTCCAGACTAGATGGTATGACTTTTAATAATGGTGGAAGCTCCTTAAACTTAGGTCTCCATCTATTCACTTCTTGTACCTGACAAGAATCAAAGACAGTAGCAATTTCAGTTATTTTAGTATCATTTTGTGCATCATGATTCAAAAGAAAAAGTTCTAAATCATCCTCAATTTGACTCCTCTCAAACTGTCCATGCATTGCAGTCGAAATGAAATTTACAACCTCGCATTCATCATCTCCATGTGGTTGCCTAAAAACATTAAAAATGTTAACCTCGATTGTCATATTTCCAAAACAAAGTTTCATTATCCCACTCCTTCAACTTATGTTAGCATCACATGTAGCTAAGAAAGGACGTCCTAAAATTACGGGAATGTGATTTTCAAAGTCTAGAACAGGTGCAGTATCCAAAACAATAAAATCAACAGGATAGTAAAATTTGTCTACTTGACAAGACAGAGTAGGGCTTCCTGGATCTTTATATTTTGGTGGAATTTTATTTTGCAATACACATGGGCAGCTAAAAACGCAGTTTTCTTCACATTATGCTTTCTTTTATAAGTACACAAGTCTTTAAAAAATTTAGCATAAGCGGGAACCTGCTTAATAGCATCTAACAAAGGAATATTGATCTTTACTTGCTTAAAAAGCTCAAGAATATTAGAGTTATAAACAACTTTCTTTAAGGGTTGTAAAGCTTTTGGAAAAGGTACAGGCACATGATATTCCTTGTCATTTTCAAATTCTTTGAGCTTGTCAAGTTTATCATTACTTTTAGTTTTCTCAACCCCATCAAGTAAAGGTGTCGTATCAATTATTTTACCATTCCTAAGAGTAATCATAGACTTAGCATGCTCAAATTCGGTATCAATTGAATTAACACCTTTAGGATTAGCTTGTGTGTTTGCTGGAAATCTTCCTTTTTCATTAACTGACATAGAGTTAGTTAATTTCGAAAGTTGACTCTTTATTTCTTTGTTTTCCTCAACAAGTTGACTAAACAATGAATCAAACTTTTGACCTAATGCTTGAACAGGATCTACATATGACTGTTTATGTTGAAACGAATTAGGAGCAGAAAATTGGTGGTTAGGAGCACTTACCTGAGGGTACGAGTCATTCCTCGAACGTAAATTAGGATGATTTCTGGTTGCCGGATTGTATGTCTCTGAAAAAGGAGTATATTGCTTCTGATAGCTTCCAATGGCAGCACATCGTTCTTCATAAATTCCTTTCATTTCCTGCAACATTTGACAATTTTTAGTGGAGTGACCATTCTCACAACAAACATTGCAAATTTGATCAACATCAGACTGATAAACTTGTTGAGGTATATTAGATTTTCCAAATTTTAATGCAGCTATCTCTTTGGCAAGATTATCATATTTTACTTTCAATTCATCTTCTTCCCTCAATTGATAAATTCCTTTACTACTAGAAGATGCGGAAGGTCTAGAGCGATCAATGCTCTTAAGTAGGTTAGGACCTTTCCATTGATGGGTTTTTTTAGCAATTTGATCTAAAAACTCTAAAGCATCATCATGTTCTTTTGACATAAATTCCCCATTACACATAGACTCAAGAAATTAACGATCTCGAGAGAGGAGACCCTAGTAGATGAAACTAGCAAGACGCCAGTCTTCAAAACCATGATGTGGGTACAAATTCAAAAGATTCTTAAATCTTTGCCATGTTTGATACAATGATTCACTCTCTTTTTGAGAAAAAGTAGAAATTTGTTGCTTTAAAGCTGTAGTCTTATGATCCGGAAAAAATTTTGAAAAAATTCATCAGTCATTTCAGACCATGAACCAATAGACCTAGCCTTTAATGCACACAACCAACTTTTTGCTTTGTCTTTTAAAGAGAATGGAAAAAATTTTAATCTCACCCCATCCAATTGATCATGTGCAATATTATAAAAAATACTAACATCATCCTCATATTCCCTAACATGCACATAAGGATCTTCATTTTCTAAACCATGAAAAATAGGAAAAAGATGAACCATTCCATATTTAAATTCATAATTTGTCATATTGGCAGGAAAAACAATGCATGAAGGAGAAGCAACACGAGTTGGATGCAAATAGTCTTTTAATGTTCTGGGGGGAGGGTTTCCCTCACCTTTAATAACTACACGGTCAGCCATGTTGACAGACTCACTATCATTATCAAAAAGATCTCCAAACAATGTTTCAATTTTAGTTTATGGACACTTCGCAAATCTGCCTCGGTGATCAAGATATCGCATGAAAATTTTAGAAAGAAAACAGAGAAAAATAAAACGCAAACAACAACCAAATAAAAAAAAATAGAAATAAATGGAAAGAGTGTACCAGGTGGGAGGAAAAAAATTCTGCGCTCCTCGCCAAATCGCTCCCTTAGCAACGGCACCAAAAAATTGCTTGCTAAACCTAAGGGCAGGTGTCACGAAGTAGTATAAACTCGAAGTCCGAGTGTCATATTCCTCAAAGAGTGTTGAAAAAGAATGTAGAATTATCAAGACTGAAACAAAGAATAATATTGAATAAGATGTAATTTTTAAAAAGAAAATCCAATCATATAAAAGCACTAAGACATTAGAGTTCCACCTTCAACATACATATTTAATTTCATTAATTTGATTCTTTTTATAACTAAATCAAGCTGCAACATACAGTGCATCCGATCGGATGATATGACAAATATAATTGTATTAAAACACACACAAAAATATACAAACTCTAAATATGGTTGTTCCCAATAAACTCAGTAGAATTCTTTATAGGAAGAATTCCAAACATAACCTGTACCTCCAGCGCAAGCTATTAAGAAATACTTCCGTCAAAATTACTAGATATCTACTAATTTATCTCAATTCACAAAAGCATGAATGCTGAAACTAAACCATAGGAAAAACATGATTGAACCTATGAATATTAACAAACATTCATCAATCGACAAATAGAGAAAACTAGATATTAATTTGAACAAACCAATAACAAGAGTTTATTGTTGATACCGCAATTCGAATCAAACTAATAAAACCACATAGTAGTTGAAGGTTTTCCTCCTAGCCTTAGCTAAAGTGATTAGTTCTCCATATAACAATATAGAAAAATAAGAAACTCTAAAAGTTATGAAAGAACAAAACTGCTCCCCCCCAAAAACATAAAAATGGGAATGGTTATATTGAGATTGCCGTAGCCAACCCCCATAAACCTCTTGAATAATGGTCATTGATAAGCCTTAATGCCATATTGAAATGGTAATGGCTGGCCATTTCTTTTTCCTCTTCTTTGTGTTCTCCTTTCTTCATTTCTTTTCGGTAACCGACATAGAGTTAATCACCAATTTATTGTCTTGTGCCTCACCCTTTAATTGCCTTGCAACATTCTCATAGTCTTGCACATTAACATTAATATACCATCAGTAAAAAATTAAAACAAATTAGATATAAAACCTATTTGACCAGTTATCAAGGTATAAAATATCGATGATATCGGAAATATCGGTAGTCCAAAAACACGGAAATATTGATGGAAATATCGGGATATTATCAATATCGATAAAAATAATATGGAAACCACGGAAATTGTAAGAAAAACTTGGAAATTTTTATTGAAACTTTGCAGGATGTTTATTTAGTCAATTATCTATTAGTTTATCACAAAAAATTGGAAGGAAATGTATTGCATGATGGATTTAATTGATTTAAGTTGATTATATAGCAAGCTGGTAAACATTGTGAGTGTAGAAAATATGTAGTAATTAATGAAAGAAGTTCAAACACACCATAATCATTTATATATAATGAATTAGTACAATATTTTACACTTTATACATTGCATGGTAAGATACATGAGTGACTTAGTACCACATAGAGTTCGTATGAGGTTCAAACTTTTCACTATCTTCATCATCTCTATGTGTAGAGTGAGTGTATTGTGAAGAGTAGCCATCAAATGATAAATCCCCAAAATAGTTTTGCATGTAATTGTTAACATGCCACCCATATGGATCCGAGATTGGTTGACGTTGTCCGTAAGCAAAATCATTTGAAGATTGAGTATCGGATTGTTTCCATGAGTCGCTCGATTCCATCCTAACAAGAATGGGATATGAAGGGCAGGGAAATGGTTGGTTATGAGTATAACCATAGTTACTACTTCCCACTCCAACAGAGTCCGAAGTTATAGATAATGAGTTATCTTCTTGACTTGACAAAATCCCCTTGCCTCTTTCTCTACGGGTATAGTCCTTCCCTATGGCACCAATTCCTGGTCCTGTCCGCCTACTGCCATGGTCTTTATCTTGTGTTGCATGCGTGAAGTTTGCCTCACCAGTGAAGGGACTCATAAATCCGGGAGGTGGTCCAACATAGTTTCCATATCCATCACCACTACATCTAGCTCCACTATATCCTTCATCATTCCCACCTCCAGTGGTAGGTGAGTCTCCTGATCTTGTACTAGAGCTATCATTAGTATGAGCACGATGTTGTGGTTGTGTAGGATTGGAAGAAGGTGGAATTCCAGTGTTTCTTGGCCTTGGGCGCAAAAGTTCTTCCAAAGAGTCAGCGCTGCTAGATCCCACCTCCTCCTCTAATACTCTTTCTACATTTATCCCTTCATTACGTGCTTCTTCAGCAACTCTGGGAGCTGGGTTGCCTTCATCATCATTTAAATGAAGAGGTCTAATCCATTGATAAAGTTGGTTACCCTCTGTATCATCATCTTCAGCAACAATATCAAACACATCTAGTGGGTCACCACGGTCGACATGATTTATTTCTGCTTCCTTATCTCGAATTTGAAGCTTCATGTTGTAGTAACAATAAACTAATTTTTCCAACCTACTATGAGCCAACCTATTTCTTTGCTTTATGTGTATGAGTGCAAATGTGCTCCAATTTCTTTCACAAACAGATGAGGAAGCTGTTTGTGATAATACTTTGATTGCTAACTTTCTCACAGTTGGTGCATCAGTCCCATACATGATCCACCATTCAGCTACAATGAAAAACAATGTTGATAAGCCTAATAACTCCAACAAATTCTATTATAAACTGATAGTGAAATATGTTTACACTTACTAGGAGAAATTTTTGTTTGAGCAACAACTGATGTTGGTTCTCCAAAAGTTCTTCTTGCATCTTTAAACCATGTTAGCTGAATTCAATAAATCGTGTTAGTTTAATCCAACAAAGTAATTATTATAATTTAAGCAATTGTGTACCTCATTTCCAAATTGGTCAACTGCTGGTGATGCAGGGTATAATTTGGAGTATACATTATGTACAGCACGTATAAGGGTACCATCATCTCCAACACCGGGTCTGTATTGGTATCGAGGATTCAAATAATATGTTGTTCAAAGAAACACATACTCTAATAAGAGAAATAATACTTATGCAACTAAAGAAATGAATTGCAAATTATGACATAATTTATACCTGCTGCATGCAAATCGTGGTATAATGTTTTATACCATCGGTCTTCAATTATCTTTATGACCCACTTTGCACCATGTTTTCTTTCCAATTCATCCTTCACTACACGCATCAACTCATATATTGCCCCCATAGTAGGATACACTTCTGTGTCAATGATCCGTAAAACTTTGTAAACAGGTTCAAACACTTGGCACACATGTTCTGATTGAGTCCAAAAAGCATGATCAAACACTATACTTTCCGCCATACGACCTGCATTTGAGCGGCTCAAATTGTGGCTGGCCCAATCGTCACTAGTGAATAGTTGCTTCAACCCTGCTTTCTTCTTAAGTAGGCTGTCTAATGCAATATAGTTGGTGGTGAATCGAGTGGTAGCTGGACAAATAATTTCTCTTTTGCAAAATTCACGCATGTTTGCCAACAACCAACCGTGATTGTAAATATAATTTGTGATTGTTCTAGCTCTTTTTACCACAGTAGCAACATTCTCTCTCTTCCCCATTGCCTCAAACATGAGATCAATACAATGTGCTGCACATGATGTCCAAACACATTATGATGCTTCATTAACTTTTTCCCAGCTTTGACAAATGCAGAACCATTGTCAGTCATGACTTGGACAACATTATGCTCTCCCACCTCCATGATTACATCCCTCAATAATTTGTAAATATACTTGTAGTTCTTTATATGGTCTGAAGCATCAACAGACTTCAAAAAAATTGTCTTTCCCTTGGAGTATACCATGAAGTTTATGATAGACAATTTGGTCGGGCCAATCCATCCGTCACACATGATTGTGCAACCATTAGTTTCCCACTTTGACCTCAACTTGTTAACATACTCGCCAATGTCTTTATACTCCATATCCAAATATTTGTTTCTTACCTCATAGGGAGTGGGAGGTTGTACTCCAACACCGGCCTGTTGACATCTCACTACCATATTTTTGAAATGATGTGATGATGCCTTCTCAGCAGGGACATTTTCATAGATAATGAACTTGCTAATTAGACGCCCCATTCCCTCCTTCATATTACCTCCAGTGAAATAACTCCAAACACTCTTTTGACGTGCTTTGGATGACTTATATAAACTTGGGGCTATTGGTGGTGTTAGTTGTGATTCTCTAACACTGCCTCCCCGTCTCATTTGTGCACCACCACTTGTCTCGGAACCTTGTGCTTTATTAGGAATTTTATGAAGGTGTTCTCTTTCCCATGCTGACTGTTTGGAGGCACGTAATGCTTGTTTCAAACTGCGTCGTTCTTTAGGTCCTATGTCATCATCACATTCGTCCTCATCGTCATCATCA